TTAGCCAAGATACTAATGGTTTGCCATTTCCTTCTCCAGCTCATTTGACAGATGAGGAACTGAGGCAAATAGGGTTAAATGACTTGCCCAGGGTCACACAGTGTCTGAGGCCAGATTTGAACTCATGAAGATGAGTCTTCCTGATTCCAAGCCCAGTGCTCTATCTACCTAGCTGCCCATAAAAACCTAGGCCTTTTGTTTATTCTGTCCCATCAGGCTAAAAAGGCAACCTTTTGTTCTGCCATGTAACTGAGGTATATGGTTCACACTGAATATACACATAGAGATACAAGATAGACTTAATGTAGTAGTCAAATTTAAGTCTAGTCCTAAATCCTAATGGAAACAAAATTATACAGTCAGATTATGCCAGTTGGCTGTTACACTTTAGCCAAAGCCTAAAAACCTGAAAGCAGATATGGTAAAAGATTCAGTTTCCTCTAAGTCTTCTCTTCTTTAAAACATTATTATTCCTTTTATCTGATCCTTCTTATGACAAAATCTTGAGGATCATCCTGGCTGCTGTCCTCTGGATGCTCTCCCGCCTATGGAAAGCCTAAAATATAGCTCTTAGAACTGAACACAATACCCTAACCCTTGATCATCTGATAGCCATTCAGCTGTTTCAGTTGTATCCTACTCTTTGTGACCCCATTTGGGAATTCTTGGCAAAGATACTGGAGTGGTTTGTCATTTCCTTCTCCAGCTCATTTTACAGATGAGGAAACTGAGTTAAGTGACTTGCTGAGGGTCACACTGCTAGTAAGTGTCTGAGGAAAGATTTGAACTCAGAAAGATGAGTCTTCCTGACTTCAGCCCTGGCACTAGATCCACTGCGCCACCTAGCTGCCTCATCTGATAGTAGATGCACTAAAGACTGCATCTCCCTTGTTCTGGAAACTATTCCTCTCTTAATGCAGCCTAAGACTGCATTAGGTTTTTTATTTTTTATTTTTTAGATGCCTTATGGTCCTGTTGATACATATTGAATTTGCAGCCCACTAAAACCTGATATTTTCCACACAAACTGTTCTTGTCACACCACTTCCACCTTTTATTTGTGAAACTCTCTTTTGAACCCAAGTATAAGACTATTTCTATTAAATCAAATTTTATTAGATTAAGCTCAATGTTCTAACCTATTAGAATTTTTCTGGATCCTGACTCCATCATTCAACATGTGAGCTATTCCTTTTAGGTCTGTCCTAACCTACAAATTTTGTGAGTATACTATCTATGCTTTTATCTAAGTCTCTGATTAAAATGTTAAACAAGATTTATTTTTGTTGTCTATTATATTATAAACTTTTTAAGAATAAGAGCCATAATACTTTACACCTACAGAGTGGTTTATAGTTTTCAAAGAGTTTTTACAAAAAAAAACCTCATTTTACTCTTATTACAATCCTCTGAAATGGCAGGCAGGTGGTTTCCTCATTTCATAGATGAAGAAAATTTGCCTGAGAACAAAAGGCCAGTAAATAGAAGTGATAGAATCTAGGCTTTCTGACTAGTCTACCTTACCATACCACATTTCATATTGTGATTGTAATTAGGCAGGCGACTGCAATGTTAATAAACATACTGGAACCTTGCTATAATTCTATACTCGGCATCTATGCTGCTATCTTAGTAGGTGAACTGACTTCTAAATATGCCTTTTTTGATATTTAGGGTTATGGATTTAGAGCTGGAAAGCACCTTAGAAGTCTCCTTTTATAGATAAACTGAGGCTCAAAAAGGTAACGTGGTAACTAGTAATTTAACTCTTCATTTCAGATCAAAGATGGATCCAGTAACTATTTCCATCTGTTCTGTTTTGCCCATATCTACCACCCCCATCCTCAAAAAACCCTCACTTGTTCCACCCATCTTTTCTCTCTCCTTATCTTCTATTTCTTCCCATTTTGGTGGCTAAACTCCTCCTGAGAAGGCTATCTACACTTGCTGCCTCCAATTCCTCTCCTCTCATTCGTCCTCCTTTCATTGAAGCTGCTCTCTCCAGAGTTACCAATGATCTCTTAATTGCCTAATCTAATGGCCTTTTCTCAATCCTCATCCTTTTTGACTTCTCTGTAGTCTCAGACACTGTCAATCACCCTTTTCTCCTTGATATCTCTTCTGTTTAGGTTTCCATGACACCGCTCTTGCCTGGTTATTTTTCCACCTGCCTGACGCCTCCTTCTGGCTCCTTTAGTGGATCTTCATTCATGTCACCCCCCATTAACTACAGGTGTCTCCCAAGGTTCTATCCTGGTCCCTCTTCTCTTCTCCCTCTAAGTTATTTCTCTTGAACTCTCCGAAGATTCAATTATCACTTCTATGCAAATGATTCTCAGATTTATTTATGTAGCCCTAACCTGTCTCTTCACCTCCAGATGTGCCATCTCCAACTGCCTTTTGGATGGATATCTCATAGACATCTTAAACTCAACATGTCTCCAACTGATCTTTCCCCCAAACCCTCTCCTCTTCCTAACTTCTCTATTCCTATCCAAGGTACAACTATCCTCCTAAACACCCAGGCTCAAAACCTAAGTGTTATCCTCATTCTTAATCCCCAAGCCAATGCCAAGTCCTATAGTTTCTACCTTAGTAACAACTCTTGTCTTCACCCTCTTCTCTGACACTGACCCTAGGAGGCCCTCGTTGTCTCACACCTAGACTACTACTATAGGTTTCTAGCTGGACTTCCAGCCTCTAGTTTCTCCCCACTCCAGACTATCCTTCACTCAGTTGTCAAATGCATCTTCTTTCTAAAATGCAAATCTGACTGTATCACCTCTTTGCTTCCCCACATTCAATTCACTCCAGTCCAATTCCTCCAGGCTCAAATATAACATCCTCTGTTTGGCTGTTAATTCCCTTCATAACCTGGCCCCTTTCTGCCTCCCATTCTTCCTTACCCCTTATTCCCCTCCCTCCCATCCTGTGTGTCCCAGTGACACTGGTTCTTCTCACACTGATGCTCCATCTTCCATCTCTAAGCACTTTTAGTGGCTGTCTCCCATGCTTGGAATGCTCTCCCTCCTCATTTCTTTCTTCTAGTTTCCCTAGTTTCCCTCAAGTCTCAGCTAAACTCCTTCTCAAGAAGTTATTCCCAGTCCTTAGTCTCACTGCCTTTCCTCTGAGACTGTGTTGTTGTTCGGCTGTTTTCAATCACGTCCAACTCTTTGACCCCATTTGGGATTTTCTTGGCAAAGATACTGCAGTAGTTTGCCATTTCCTTCTCCGGGTCATTTTACAGATAAGGAAACTGAGACAAACAGGGTGAAGTGACTTGCCCAGGGTCACACAGCTAGTAAGTGTCTGAGGCTAGATTTGAACTCAGGAGGATGAGTCTCCTCCACTCCAGGCCTGGCACTCTATCCATTGCACCACCTAGCTGCCCTCTGAGACTACCTCCAAGTCATCCTCTATATATCCTGTTCATGTTATCTTTCCCATTAGACTATAAATTCTTTGACAGGTGGGACTTTTTTTTTCTTTTTTTGCATCCCTATTGCTTAGCACAGTGCCTGGCATATAGTAGGCACTTAATAAATGCTTGTTAACTGAATGACTTATGTTTTATGTAATTCCATACGATATGGAAGGCATACTTAGGGGAATGGGTCCCAGCATAATATTATTTCAAACCCTGCTGGTTTTTTTAATGGTAAGGCAACTTATTTATTTATTTATTTTTAGGCAATTGGGTTAAGTGACTTGCCCGGGGTCACACAGCTAGTAAGTGTCAAGTGTTTGGTCAGAGGCCGGATTTGAACTCAGGTCCTCCTGACTTTTAGGCCAGTGCTCTATCCACTGTGCCACCTAGCTGCCCAGTAAGGCAACTCTTGACTTTTAATGGTAAATACTCAGGTTTTTTCATAGGATATTTAATGATATATGCTCATGGGTTATTTCATAAGATATTTCAGTTTGAAAATTATCTTCCAAAAATAACCTTACTAAAAAAAATTAACACCTGAATTTTGAGTACAGTAACCAATTTATTCTGCTGCTAGGAGATAGGTCTAGAATAGAATTTCTACATTAGATTTATTTTGCAAATTGATTTCCATTTAAAAGACTACATTGAATTTATTGTGGGAGTTAAAAGTACCAAACCACGTAATTTTGAAGCTCAAGAACACCTAGTTGTCAGTAAGAGAGGATATTTTAATATACTATTAAAATGTACTATTTTAATATATTATTAAAAAGAGAAGATGTTAAAGAGAGGTTCACAGTAGTAGAATTTTATTGTAGAAATAAATACATGACAATCATTTTTCTTACTTAAAAGTTTTTATTTTTTAGAGAAATTAGCTTTCAATGTATGCATATATTTTTCTCCAATACCTTTTAAACATGTACTATTAGTTACTTCAGATAGTGGACAATAACTGAAGTCAAAATATAATTGATATCATTAAGAATATAAGGTTAGTCAACAAAAGAAACGTGGCTGTTGTCCATACATACCAAAGGTTAGGCCTCCAAAGGAGTGTTTTTTCTTCCAAGTAGTTCTCACTTTGAAGGCCAGTTAGAACTTATCTGTTGCTGTTATTGTTTTTATTTGTTTTGGCCTGGACCCTTGTGAGTTCATTGGTGTAGGGAATTCCCAGTCAGGAAACTCCCTCAACCCATGCAGGTCCACTCCTGCTCTGTAACTTGTGGGCTTACAGAGAATTGCTTGAGGCCAATGAGAAATTAAGAGACTTCTTCAGGGTCATTTATTTTTCAGCAAGGTCAACCAGTATTTTTTCAGAGTTGGTATGTGAATTCAGTCTTCCAGACTCTAAGATCAACACCCACAAAGAAGAGGGTGTTTTTTGTCACTATTATTACTGGAGCGCACTAAATAATGTTATTGGCTGATACGTGGTAAAAATTTAAAGAAAGCAGTACTGGCAATGCTAACCTTTTTCACTGTGCTTTTTCTTCATTACAGTTTCTTCAACTTTTCTTCTTATACACTTAGCAATGGATTACTAAAGCCATGAATAATGACTTACCGTGAACCTTTAATATGTTTATGGATAAAATCTGGATGAAAACGTGGAACCAAAGGATCTTTCTCGCCATGTATTATTAAAGTAGGACATTTTATAAGGGGCAACAAATGTTGACAAATGTTACCTGAAAAACAAATGAAATGAAAATTATGCTCTAATTATAACCAATACCGATTATTTAGATGCTAGTCATTACAGGAGACTGATTTGGGAGCATATTTTTTGGTCTCCAGTTTTGGGGAACGACAGCAACACTCACATCTTGACTAAACATTTTATCTCCTCATCCCCTAGCTCTGCAAGCAGTTGGTGCTTTAAAAATTGCTTAATTGAGGACAAAAACCTTTATACTTTAGCTTTAGTACCGTTGTCATAGCTCAATTATTACGGTCTCCCTTTACAGCAAGATTCAGTCTTGATTTTCAAATTAAATACTGAATTTTCTATTTCACAAATATCAAAACAAACAAACCAAGTACATAGGTAGCCAAAGCTGAGCCAAAAAAGTTAACACATAATTATGTAACAAAGCAGAAATTGAGTATTGATCTTCCTAAGAACATATTGGCTCTGATTTACTTTTACAATTCCAGATTGAGAAAAATATATTCTCCATGAATAGACCAGTTAGGGTTGTAGCAGATGTTGGTTCCTAAGTGACTGGCGAAAGGAAACTTTTGTATCCCTAGGTTTTCCATGAGTCTCTGATCTCCCACACCCAGAACTTCCTTTTGGCACCATCCACCTCTACCACTCAGCCCAAATTCTAGTTGTAGTCACCTCCTGAGCTTTAGGGTCATTCTCCATCCTTTTCTATGACAATGGGACAAATAAAATGTATCTGATTATAGGAGGCAGAGAGAGGAAGATGATAAGGAACTAGAAAAATGAAGAGAAACAGTGATCAAAAAGCAAGGAAGTGAACCATGAGCATGGAGTGCCTCAGATACCAAATGAAAAAGTATTATTTGCTACAGAGAGATCAAGGGGAAGAAGGAGAGAGAGAAAAGGGTCACTTGGCCAAGATGGCAGAGTGAAAGGTCACAAACCCCACAAAAGATAGAGAAGTCCAAAAGAAAAAAAAAACTTACATCCCCCACCACAATCACAAACACACACACACACACACACACACACACACACACACACACTAAAAATCAACCATAATAGAAAATGAGCAAAGTCAAGAAAAACATAAACAAAACAACACTGACAAAGCACCACAGAACAACGGAAACAACTAAAGTACTAGAAGCAATGCAGGTAAGGAGACATATGAGATATGCTCAAATGGATAATTGGTGTATATAAAGAAATTAGGCAAGAATTAACATAGGTAAGAAAATCACAAGTCCAAACAAAGAGAGATGTTATAGAGAGCAAAAAATCATGAAAGTCAAGTTAGAATAGAGGGAGGAAATAATGGAGAAAAGTGGCCGATATAAAGAGCATAGTAGAAAACCTGCATCAGTAGAATAAAACAACATATCTGGCACAAACTGCATACAACAGGCAACTGCATATGCAGGCACAGAATATCATTGACTCCTCCAATGAATTAGAAATCATGCCAATTCACGTGACAGACCTGACCTGTCCTCCCATGGAGCTGTAAGCTCATTATGTTGTTTCATTTACAGGTTGGAATGCTAATATGAATATAGTTCAGTTCTTTCAATAGCATATCAACCCAATTGTTAGATATATATCTCATACTTGGGTAAAAATAAAGGCTACAGCAATGTTTTAGCTGCTCTCAAAACGGTGATTCTTATCCCCCACTATCCCCCTTTGACCACTGCCATTGATGCAGAGGGAGGCCTCACAGAACTTAGGGTCATTTTAAAATTCATATAGATGCAAAGCCTTCTAGAACAAAAGGCCACCTTCATGCTTTGATGAGTCATTACAACAGAATTTCTGTGGAGAAATAATAACAACACTTTATATTTATTTAGCACTTTACAGTTTATAATATACTTTGTTCACACAACACTATGAAGTAGACAATGCAGGTATTATTATCCCAGGGCAAGACAGGCATTAAGCCGGTCTTCTGACTCTAAATGCAGTATTTTGTTTTGTTTTTCTATCATGTATATCATGCTGTCTCTACCAGTGAAAACAATATAGACTCAAGAAACATTTTGCATGGAAAGAGTACCCAATGATTCTAGAGTCAGAGGACCTGGATTCAAATCTAGGTTTTTCCTCTTAATATCTGTGGGATCTCAGGCAAACTGTTTAACTTCTCTAAATTTTAGTTTCTTCATTTGTAAAATGAGACGGTTGAACTAGATGACCTGTAAAGGACCTTCCAGTGCTGAATCAAAGATCCTACTATTAACTATATATACAGGTATATATGTGTGTACACACACATACACACAATACATATGCGCATATTTTATACATATGTTTGCATATGTATATATGTGTGTGTGTATGTGTGTGTGTGTGTGTGTGTGTGTGTGTGTATATATATGTATATATGTTTTGTTGTGTTGAGTCATTTCAGCTGTGTCTAATTCTTCATGACCCTACTTTGGGGTTTTCTTGGAAAAGAGTAGTTTGCCATTTCCTTCTCCAGCTCATTTTACAGACGAGGAAATGAGGCAAACAGGATAAGTGACTTGCCCAAAGTTACATAGCTAGTAAGTGTCTGAGGCCGGATTTGAACTCAGGAAATCGAGTGTTCTTGATTCCAAGCCCAGTGCTCTATCCACTGTGCCACCTAGCTACCCAATTTATACATGTATATGCACAAAAACATTCACGTACACACATATCGAGAGAGAAAGAGAGAGAGACAGACAGAGAGACTTCTGCAAGCTTTCATGGACTAACTAGATGGTTCCTTGAGAGAAAGAAATTCAAGACTGTAGCTATGTGGGGTTTGAGATGAGAAAGCACAAGATCTGAGAGAGTGCAGAGGAATATGGTTGGGAGACGATGCGCCTGTGGCTGTGGAGAATAGGACGCAGAGCAGAAACTATTTAATATGGTAGAAAACAATGAGGCTCCTCTTAGGTACCCAGCATCATCATCCATGACAGGCAAATAGATCTGCAGTTAATGCGACTGGAGGAAGGGCCTGATCAGCAGTAGACTATGTGCTGGTTAACACAACGGCTGAGGTCTTCTGTCTCCTCACCTCTGACCACCTTCCTTTCATTTAGAACTTAAAAAAAAAAACAACTGTGTTTCATTTTTTGCCATCTACTGCTGGTATTTTTCTAAGCCTGAATCTCTTTTTCTAAATTAATTCAATACTGTAATCTGTGAGCACATTATTACTTTCGATCACAGTATATAGTGGGACGGCTCTTACAGATTTTGTATTTCATAGACTATGTTAGGACTCTGCAATCTTAAGATGAGAAGTTAAAATCCCTGCTGGGGGCTACTAAGTTACAGTTAAGTTTTACGAATAATTGTGTGTGTGTGTGCATGTGTGTGAATAACTTGAACTGCTCAGTTAGATTTCCCTTGTAAAAATGAGCATCACGGTACTGCTGAGGATATCAAATCAGGGGCCCAGAGGGTTAACTCTGCCCCTGTTACCTAAAGGGAAGGGAGCTGTTTCACAGTAACATTTAGAATTAAATATTTCCCAAATAAGGTGTATTACCTTCTTCATGAGTACAAGATGGGGGAGGTATAATCAGAGTATTGTTTTGGACTAAAAGTTTAGTGAGTTAATAGTGTGATATGACAGACAAAAAAGTAATGCAATCTTGAGATTCATTACGAGAAGCATAGTATGCAAGATTAGGGAGGTGATCATCCTACTGCTTAGTCTATCCAGACAATATCTGCAGTGTTATGTTTAGTTCTAGTTAACAACACAAATGGGAAGAGAACAGCTATTAAGAAGATGGCATCCAAGACCAGGTTTTAAATTTCTGGACCATAGCTTAAAATATGATAGATGAGTTCTTGGCTAGAAATGGAGTGTATCTAGCAAGGATTAGTAAAATGTATTTGCCTAGATTCTTGTAAATCTAATCAAAAGGACTTTAAACAAAAATGAATGGAGCGAGAGAAATTGCCTGTGCCTATCTACCAAGTTAGATATGATACAGAGTAGCTGCAGTGTAGAAAGAATAGCAAAAATTCACAAAATTAAAAAATCCAAGAAAAAGAGTCATCAATAAAATCAATGGCTCAGAATCATATATAAAAATGTACAAAGTATGAGTAACAACCAAGGTAAACTAAAACTTCTAATACAAGAGAGCAAATACAATCTCAGTAGTATCACTGAATAATGAGAACAAAAACTAGAAAATGGTTCTTTAAGGCATATCTTATAAAAAGGAAGATAAGGTGCAGAGTAGCTTTTAATATTTTGAGGCAATTCTCACGTGAAGAAATCCAGAGGGTGATGCTGGGGAGGGGGGCTGGATGGGTGAAGCATAGAGAAGTCCAGTTTTTGCCTTCTGTATCACTCCCCTTCACATACACCAAGTTTAGCCAAACTGGCCAACTCCTTGTATTCCAATCTCAACATTTTATTTCCCAAATGCCATGAATCTACAAGCTGTCCCTCAGCCTGGAATGTACTACTTTCCTCATTTCTACCTTCTAGAAATTCAATCTTTTTTCAAGGTTCAGCTCAGGAGCCAGTCCTCCATGAAGTCTTCCCCGCTACCCCTTGTTAGTACTCTTTCTCTCCTCTACCTTGTATTACAAGCACCTCTCTGTAAATTTTACCTCCAGCAAACGTAAACTCCTTTAGAACAGAGACTATTTTATTTCTGTCTTTATATCCCCAGTATGTGGCACAGAGCTTTGCAAACATAGAATAGATATTTCATAATTGCTTATGAAATTAAATTGAATTTAAAACTAATGTGACTACTTTTTTTTTTTTCGGTTGTAATTCTGCTAGAGTCTTTGTTAGGCTGAGGCTCCAGAGACACATTTACCTTCTTTGGATAACCAGGAACAGTGGAAACAATAAAAGGTCTAATCTCAATTCTGCCTAAACGAACATTTTATAAAGCAGCAAAAAATTCTGGTGTTAATGCCCTGCTGTGTTTTTTTTCACACTGTTAATTTATTTCTAAGATTACCTGTTCTGCAATCTGAACATAGGTATATTAAAAACCCTAAGGGAAATTATTTTGCCACTAATGTAGTATCAAAAGAAGGGGAAAAAAATCTATGTAAAATACATTTTATAGGGCATTAAGCTACATAGTTTTGGGCCCTGGAAAAAGTAAAGTTTGTGACTTGTAACTCATGGCAAAACCATTCTGGAATATCACTGAAATTATGTTTGAAAAGACATATGAATTATTACTAGATAATAATGACAACTTTTCATCTCCTACTTCTAAGGGTTTAATGGGATATTTATTTCATGGTAATGACACCTTTCCTATTTTGCTATTTGTTTTATCAGGCATTTCATGTAATTTACCATCTGGTAGATTTTTAAACTGCAATATTCCATCCACCCAGTTCTCACAGGTTTTGGCTAAATATTCATATCCATATAGTGCTTCCAGAGGTTTTCTTGCTTTCTCACTCCACTTTGAAACATCTCGAATGCCTGAAAAAAAAAATAAAGAAACAACATCAAAATTGTAGGATATACCTTGCAAATAGGAACCTTTAACCTGAAACAAAGACCCTTGGGTCTTTGAGTTAGATTTATATTTCATTTTATATACTTGAATAAACTATATAGGAAAACTGTCTCAAGTATCCTCATTTGAATAAAAGGGGTTTTTTTAATGACTTAGTTTACTATATCTGATTGCTTATTGTCTCAGTTAAGGGGGAGTGGTAGAAATTGGAACTCAAAACTTAAAAAAAATGTTTTAAAATGTTTTAACATGGAACTGGAGGGAAAATAAAATACATTAAAAACCCTTTAAAAAATAAAAATAAAGGTGTAGTGAGCTGCCTTGGTGACAGCAGGTTCCCCAATACTGGATGCCTTCAAATAGAGGCTGGATAAGTACTTGTTGGGGAGATAGGTGTTGTAGTGGGGATTCTTGTACTGGCCAACTTATAGGCCAACCTATGTTGGCCTTGATGACCTAGAAGGCAGGGTTTCTTGACCATTTTTGAGTCATGAACCCTATTAGTAGTTTGGTGAAACCTAGAACCCTTTCTCAGAATAAAGGATTTAAATGAATAAAACAAAACATAGAAAATAAAAAAGATGTAATATTTATAGTTTCTGAAATGGTAACATTTTAAATCACAATTCTGAAATAAAGTCTTAATTCAATTTAAAAAAAAAGACCTCGTTTAGAGACCTGGTTATTTTTATACAGTATCTATAGAGAAAAAAAGGACACAAACTATACTTCTTACCGCCAAAGAAAAACTATGGGTACAAGGCATTACAACTGTTCACAACAGGGTGTATAACATAAGTAGGTTAAATTTTTACTAAAAGTTACATTTTTAAAAAAAGAAAGCAAGTTTGGTTGCTTCTTTCGGTCTTCACACAAAGGTTCAACAACAAATGTAAGTGGCAATTAAGATACTGAAGAACCAGAATACACTGAATACTTTTAACACAAAGGTTTGAAAAAGCACTTCTTCTCTACCGCCTGATAGTGGACAATGTCTATATGGATTCTCCATATCCTTCTGACAGAAATGTGTAAAATACACAGTACAGTGCTAGCCGTGTAGTAGGCATTCAATAAATACCTGAACAGAATTAAATGTACAAATCTAAACACATTTTAAAGTCACTTTGTCCAAAAGTGCAATTTGAAAGCTTATTTCAGGAATAAAAAGGACCAGAAGACAATTAAATTTAACTCTTCAATGCCTAGCACACTGATTTGCACCTACAATGACTGATTCAGAGCTGAAAGGAACTCTAGACATCATCTTGTTCCATATTTTTTTTTTGATGGAGAAACTGAACTTAACCCCAATTGCCTCACCAAAAAAAAAAAAAATTAAAACTTGATGGAGAAGCTGAGTTTCAGAAAGGTTAAGTGACTTTACAAGCTTGCAAGCAGTAAATGGCAAAGCCAAGATTTGAACCCAGGTTTTCTGACTCCTGGGTATTTGATAAATATTTGTTAAATGGATAGATAAATTAGGAAACCTTTTAATTAATAATTGAGTCACTGGTTTTTAGAATTTATACTATCACAAACATCTAATTAATTTATTTGTATAATGCTGTCAATTTTGATGGTTGCTTTTCATTTAAGGATCTCAAAGCCCTTTCCTAAATGGTAATACTAAAAGGAGAATTAATTGGATTTGGAATGAAAGTACCTGAGTGAATCCTAGCATCCTGGCTTTGCTATTCAGGCTCTGTATGATCTTAGGAAAATCACTTAACCTTTCTACCTATTTCTTTACTGATAAAACCAAGAGACTATCCTGGATGACGTCTTCAGGTCTCGTTAGCAACTCCTTTGTAATTTATAGTTTAAGAGAGTTGCTCAGGAACACCAAGAGGTTAAGTGACTCACAGGTAACTTCCAGGTGTCAGAGGCAGGGCTTGAACCTAGATCGTCCTGCCTTGGAGGTCTGCCCTCTTTCTACTACTTAATGCTTCCTTTTCATAATTATGCTTTCAAAATAAAAAAGGGAAAAATTTAAACCACAGACCTAGTTAAACTACCTTTTAGATATTATTTCTACTTTAAAACTAGAGAATGGGGGCAGCTAGGTGGCGAAGTGGATAGAGTGCCGGCCCTGAAGTCAGGAGGACCTGAGTTCAAATCTGGCCTCAGACCAAACACTTGATACTTACTAGCTGTGTGACCCTGGGCAAGTCACTTAACCCTAACTGCCTATTAAAAAAAAACAAAACTGGAGAATGAGATGCACAGGTGTTAAATGATTAATTACCATATTTAAAAATGAGATGGAAAAGGGAGAATAGCTTTGTTACAGATTTTTATCTTTACATAACCTACCATGATAAATCATTTCATCCTCATCAGTAACACAGGCATTTGCTCCCCAAATTACCAACTTGTTGATATAAGATGGGTACTTTGCAGCTGCAATGAGTGCAGTTATCCCACCATCACTCCATCCCAGCAAAGAAACTGTTTTAAATTTCAGTGTCTGTGGTTGGTAAAACAAAATGTACAGTATAAGTTATTGGTCTTTTTGCTGTATTGGTGAAGAAGAAAAATTTACTAATTTCCAGGTACATTAGTGTATCTGAGTGCTTGGATAATTCACAAATAATCCAAGGCTAGAGCAAAAGAAATTTTTTTAAATTTTTATTTTTTAAATTAATCTACTTATTTTTAGTTTTCAACATTCACTTCCATTCTCCTTCCTGCCCTCCCCCTTACCCCAAGACAGCATGCAATCTGATATAGGCTCTACATATACATTCTTATTAAACATATTTTCACATTAGTCATGTTGTAAAGAAGAATTAGTACTAATGGGAAGAGCTATGAGAAAGAAGAAACAAAACAAAAAAAGAGAGAGAGCAAATAGCATGCTTCCATCTGCATTCAGACTCCATAGTTCTTTCTCTGGATGTGGATAGCATTCCCCATCATGAGACTTTTGGAATTGTCTTAGATCCTTGCATTGCTGAGAAGAGCCAAGTTTATCAAAGTCAGTCATCACACAATGTGGCTGTTACTATATATAAGGTTCTCCTGGTTCTGCTCACTTCACTCAGCATCAGTTCATATAAGTCCTTCCAGGTTTTTTGAAGTCCACACGCTCATCATTTCTTACAGCACAACAGTATTCCATTACATTCGTTTACCACAACTTGCTCAGCCATTCCCCAATTGATGGGCATCGTCTCAACTTCCAATTCTTTGCCACCACAAAAAGAGCTGCTATAAATATTTTTGTACATGTGGGTCTTTTCCCTATTTTTATGATCTCTTTGGGATACAGCCCTAGAAGTGGAATTGCTGGGTCAAAGGGTATGCACACTTTTATAGCCCTTTGGCACAGTTCCAAATTGCTCTTCAGAATGGTTGGATCATTTCACAACTCCACCAACAATGCACTAGTGTTCCAGTTTTCCCACATCTTCTCCAGCATTTATAATTTTTCTGTTTTGTCATGTTAGCCAATCTGATAGGTGTGATGTGGTACCGCAGACTTGTTTTGATTTGCATTTCTCTAATCAATAGTGATTTAGAGCATTTTTTTCATATGATTATAGATAGCTTTAATTTCTTTATCTGAAAACTTCCTATTCATATCCTTTGACCATTTATCAATTGGGGAATGACCAAAAGGAATTTTTAAAAGGAGAGAGAAGGGCTTAGCAGAAAAACTGTCTACCTTACCAAGAGAAGGAATTTGGAGTTTACGGAAACAGTTCTCAGACAAGAAAGCCATTTTAATCATACAAGCACAAATTTTTGTGAGGTAGAATAAGATAGCATTTTAGGGTTTTAGTGAATTACAATGTTTGAAAATTAGGCCCACATGTGTAGAATGTAGGAGCTACCAAGGGAACACCACAAAGAATTAAATGGACATGAATTGAAAGGGGAACACCACATAGAATTAAATTACAAAAGAAAACTCATTGAAGTAGAGGAAGAGGTTTTGAGCATCAATCAAAATAGCATGTTCAACATTAACTTGGACTTGACACAATTGAGTAGATTATAGCTTTCTTTACAATCAGCTACATTCCAGTCATTCCTTTCTGAAGAAATTCTGGGACAAATCCTAGTTTTTCTGAGTTCGAGGATTCTTGAATGACCTCAGTTTGTACTTCTGATTGGTTATGTTTTTGAGGCATTATCTATACTCACCAAAATTACAATTCACACATCATCTAACACAGATTATTCCTGTAGCTAAAAAGAATTCATTCAATATTTTATCTATAAGGAAAAATCTTTGCTATTTTAAAAAACTGAAATTTAAACAGACCTCGAACCCCCGTAATAAAGTAAAGTATTTGTATAAATGAAATTCTGATCTTCTGTTTTAACTCTGATTCAACAGGCAACTTTATATGGCACAAAATCATTCTTTTCAGACTCTCTATATATTATAAAGCAAAAGCCTAAAATCTCCCCTAGCTACTCAGGCTATATATAAAAGTCAAGGGTTAGGGAACATGGTAAGGTCATAAAGAATGGCTCTACATGGAAATTAATTTCCTTTAATTTATATAGTAAGGTGGCAATAGCCTTAGCATCACACGTGAAATGGGAGGGAAAGGAGGGAAGAGCAAACGAGAATTTTTATTGAGTCAAGTTTTCTTTGGACAAGTTTATTTCTCAGTTAAGAGATCATTAATAACTTTGGAAAGAGCAGAAATACAAGAAAAAGTACAAGGAAAGAAGTAGGAGCACCTACTGTGGATGGTCTTTTGTAGAAACAAAATAAGCAGAAGACAGGATTTAAATAAGGGGAAAACATTAAAAACTAAAATTCTTATACTTGGTCATATTGGGGCTAAGGAAAGCTTCCCCATAACACAAATTATTGGAATGAAGCCTGTTTTATTTAAAGGCAGGTTTCTTTTTTGGAATAGACATCTGCAGACAAAGTTCCTATATTTATTATATTCTCTCATTTTATATTCTTTAAGTATTTGTGATAGTACTCTGGGACCCAGAAAAATACATAAATGTTTAACAATATCTTCAAATATATGAAACATTCTCTTATCGCAGATAACAGCTATTTTCTATCTCTAAAGGACAGAACTAGAAGAAATGAATTTACCTTTCAACTAAAGGCTCCTACCGCAAGGTCATTATAGTAAGAGCGATTAAACTGACCACCAGTGGAGGTTGTGGAATAGTTCTTCCTAGTTATATTTCTTTCCTAGTCATTGAGTATAACAAACAATCATCTATCCTGAATGGTTTGAGTATAGGCAGCTGGCTACAGCTGAACAAAAGTCAAATGAAGAAAAACTCTTTCTTCCCTCCTCCTCCAACTCTGTTACCTTCATCAGATCAACAGCATCTTTTGCATCCCTTTCAAAGAAGTCCACGGGGAAATCACGCTTTGGGGGGATGGAATGGCCATATCCCCGAGGATCCCAGGCTACTACTGTGAACAGCTGCTTATTCAAGTTCTTGAGCTGGGGTCCAAAATCACTTTGGCCACTTCCTAAAAAGAACCACTTTGTTACTCACCAATTAACACTTTAATTATACATAAAACATTATTTAGTAAGGGAAAAATCTTTAAAATAAGGATCTAGTTGCAATTTAGTGCCATCATAAACAGCTATTCTCTGGCTTTTCTGTTTACTCTCCAGTCCTGTCTAGGGTTCCCTCCAATGGCTATTTTGGGAAAGGCAGTTTTTCAGACATAGGGACTTGATGGTTCCTTAATGGCTTCCTGCAACTTTGCAAGACCCCAGAGTACTCACTAATCCTGATCTACTAATGTTTAGAATCAATGAAATAGAATGAAAGCAAACCTGCAGTTATGGCACTGACGTAATTTTACCTTGAAAGATTTTTTAAGTGGCTCCTCAATAATATGATATGCAAAATTATATGATTAAGAATTTGACAAGTAAAAAATAGTTGTCTTCAAAATGAGAAGGGCTTCTTTTTTGAAATTTCAGACAATTTTACTATGCAAATTGGGTTAGTCTTACATTATCTTTTCATATTCAAAAGGAAAAGTTCTAAGAAACTAAAGCAGATAACATTTTCACACTTTCTTAATTAGAAGGCTGAGCAAATTCATACAGGCCAACAGGCAGAATTGTACCTAGATGTTCTTGAGACTATAACAGGAGAACTCTTAACACCCCCAACTAACCTGATACTCAGCTTTTGTCATCATTTGTCAATGCTTAATATATTAACACCTTTGTATTCTAGCCTGTGGCTACATTTATGCTTTCCATACTCTTCACATAGCTGTACAAAGGTACAGACTGGAAGGACTCAAACTCATGTCAAATAAGAATTAAAAGTAAAACTCTATTTCATTTCTGTGTGACCCCTCACAGGCAACAATCCCCAGATTTGGATATTTTCCCAAAACGTTCTATCCAAGATGCTGGCTATCACAGGTACCATGGGATCGTCCTACCATGCTAATCTTATCTAACCTAACTTCAGACAATCTATTTGTAGACCATGCCTAATGCCACGATCAAAGATAGATGCCATCTGACTCTGCTACCTCAGCAAACCTATACTGGTGGAGCCTGTGATCTGATTCTGTCCTAAGGAATATTCCATTTTTTTTTTCATTCTGAGCTAAGGGATATTCCATATTTTTTATTCTGAAAATGAAATTATATTTCATTATATATTACATGTTTTATTATCCTATCTGAAACCAAGCCAAAAATTTCTCAGAGTAATTCTAACTCGCATTCACTCAAAATCAATTCCAAAACAAGTAAGTTAGTTACTACCTAACGTAGATTTTTATAGAACTTTGTAGTCTTTTTCTTTCACATTAGAAGCTTTAAACACTGGCATTAAAACTACTCAAAATGCTATTTAAAATCAATATGGTCATGTATTGATCTGAAGATTATTTTCGTGGAATGTCTCATAACACTAGAGCTTCATACTATAAAGTGATCAAAAGCAGCACAATCCAAATCTTAAAAAATGGTCAGTACTTAGAATAATCCCAGAATTTTAGTTTGGAAGGATCCTTAATTTAATCTTTTTACCACATGCAGGAATCTCCCACACATCATCCCAACAGTTTAAACACTCCCAGTGACAAGGGACTTACTAACTTAAAAGGTAGTCTATTCCTTTTGTTCATAGGATTTAGAGCTGGAAGGTACCTTATAAACCACCTAATCCAGCATCCCTACTTTTATAAATGAGGAAACTGAGACTTAGAAATGAAGTGATTTGCACCAACGTAGTATCAGAGGTGGGATATGAACCCAGGTTCTCTGACTAGAGAGCCAGTGATACTTCCCCCATCCACTGAAGAGTTAAAATTTGAACCCCTGACAAATCTAGAGTTCTTTCTACCACACTAGAAATTCGCATCTTCAGAAGGTTCTGTCTTATATGCACCAAATTCTAGTTTCCTCTAATTTCCAGCCAGTGGTCTACCTTGTAGATCTACAGGAGTTCAAGCTTGACCCTCATTCCACATTACAACCTTTCAAATACTTGAAAACAATAAACATATCTCTCCTTATCCAAGCTAAATATCCCAGATCCTTCAACCATTCTTCATATGATATGGTTGAATCCACCCTGGCCATCTTCTTTTGTCATGGCTCCTCCTAAAACATAATGCCCAAAATTAAACACGTTATGTTGAATTTAGGATCTTTAAGACCTGGGTTTTGAATGTTTCATCATGAGGCAAGTTACTTAACCTCTGAGTTCATTTTTCTCATCCATAAAATAGGGTAATATAATACTTGCAGGATCTACTTTAAAGGACTGTTATGAGGATAATACTTAACAAATCTTAAAGCACTACATAAAAATAAAAATTTTCCAAATGTGTTCTTACCCTCCCCTTTTTTATGTAAGTTCATTGTAAAAGAATTTGCAGAATGGTATGTTGGAATAAATAATTAAAAAATAATCTGTAAGGCAAGACTTGGAAAATTTTGCTTTGGATCTAGAAATAAGCTCCAAAATTCAAAAGTCAGACAACTTTCTCTTCCTCTACCCCCCCCACCCCCCACCCCCACTTCAAGGGAGAAAATTCAGCAAGTTACTATAGGGGTATTGGTTCCTAAACTTAAGGAGTCAAATAAGGGCCACCAAGGACACCATAAAGGTCTTAAAGGGATCCTCAATGAGGGAATTCACTATATCTGGTCAGCTTACTTTCCAGGTCACATTTGGGAAAACAGCTCGGCTGGCCAGTGATGTCTCATCAATAACCAAGCTCCAGTTACCACTCTAGGAGTAGGATAAGCTCAAGGGTGGCTGTTCACATAGCAGTGCTGCCTGGTACTGCCAACTTTGATTTGAGTCATCATAATAACAAAAACGTGAATAAACATGAAGGATGGAGAAGAACGAAGTGCTCTTCTATGGTTTCAGATAACGTTGTGCCTGAACTATTAGGGAGTCTGGTGAAACTACTAGGCAGCAGGATTTGGTGAGCCCTGTTTTAAGGTCCATCATAGGTTAAGTACATAGTTCAATCTACTCTACCTTCTACATATAAGATACTCCCATGAGAAAGTGTGTGGAACTTCATTATCCTGAGGCATTATCTTTATTTTTTTGCAACTTTGTATTTTTGGAAAAATGTTATATTTTTTTTCCAATTACCTGTATAAAAACAATTTTTAACACTCTTTTTCAAAAATTTTTGAGTTCTGAAGCATTTTCTTTAACAAAAGAAAAATGCGTTAATTCCATTCCTTTCCCAGAAAGGCGAAAGTGTAATATTTTAGATTTTCAACAAAGGTTGGAACTGAAAGGTTTGTGGTTTAACCATTATTTAAATATCAAATTTAATTCATTCTACCTTTCTATTCCCTTTCCCAGAAAGATTTCTAGACACCATGTTTTACTGTATTTCCAAAGTGTTCAAAAAATCTCAAAACACTCTAGAAAGTCACATAATTTTCTAAAATATTAATTTCATAGCTGACAGCATTACCAAAAAATTCTACAAGATGCTGAAAGGGATAACTAGTATTTGGCGAAGAGAACTATGACTACGCTGTGTTTTAAAACATGCAAGCGTAAGAGTTCTAATGAAAGTCCAAACGCCACACCTAACATTCCAGGAAGTAGCAGAGCCGCGTGCTCTCCTTCTCCAGTTTGTAGATAATGCAGGTGGACGCCGTTCACTTCCACTTTAGCCGAGGTCACTGAGGTACTGGAAGAAAAAGCCCCATCCCACAAAAGGAAATTATTCATTAGTGTAAATTTAACATGACAAAACTGCTATTTCGTAGACTATAGTAATCACCAATCCTTATTTTTCTTAGCAAGGATTAATCTTTACCTTTTGAACCTAATTCTCTTCTCCTCTTAATAAAAAAGCACTGAATGACAGCGAGTTGAGGACCAGTGACAGATTTCCATTAGAGTAAGAAACTTCCAAAGCATTGCTTTATTCACTCAAGAAGCATTCCCTAAGTATCTACTATTTGTCAGGGCCAGTCTTAGGCACCAAGAATACAGGGATAAAATAATCCCTGCCCTCTAGGTGCTTAAATTCTACTGGGGAGAAACATGTATAGAGAAAATTAAATACAACATAGATATAAATTTCTGGCAACTAAGGACAGAAAGGAATCAGGATGGCTTCTAGTAGTTGTTGGAGTTTGAGATGAGCTTTGAAGGAGGCCAAGGATCCTAGTCTACCCCAGGAGGAAAAGAGGGAGGGCACTCCAGTAGGTCTGAAAAGATAGCCTATCCTTCATAGATGGTGAAGGGCTTTAAATGCCAAACTGAATTTATTTAACCTAGGGGCAAGAGGGAACCTCTGGAGCTTCTTAATCCAGGAAGTGACAGTCAGCCTTTGCTTTATTAGTATTAATCTGGCAGCTGCATGGAGTATGGATTAAAGAGGAGCAGACTGAAGCCTGAGAGACCAATTAGGCTACTACAGTTTTCTTGGTGACAGGTGATAAGGAAATGAACCAGGGTGAAAATGAAAAAGGGACCTCGATGGTCACCTAATTGAACTCAAAGCACTGGCACCATTATATATAAGCTAGATGTGTGTGCCCCAGGCAGCAATCCTGAGGTGGTTCTTGGCAGACAGGAATACTTGGGATGAGTTTGAACTGGGACAGGTCCTAGGAAACACACTCAGTGCCATAATCACTATGCTGATTCCCTTGGGGGTCAGCCGGAATCCTGAAGGGTTATGGGTTATCTCTAAGGTCCCAGAATGATTTGGGGTCCAGCCCCAAAGTAATAACATACTTTATGTTAAATTCCAGAGTGACCACTTAATGGGTCTATCAATGACACACTTGGGTCAGTTCCAGTGAAAAGTACATTATGGATGGATTTACCCAAAGGATACAAATCCAGTTGCCTGAAATGTTACTTTCCAGTCTTTATTCCTGTCACAATTGGAATTAGTAAACTGAGGCAGATCTCTGGGCAAGATAACATTGGGGGGGGTGGCATGCTACTTGTCAATAAATGGGTCAATGGCTGCCTCCATTTATGCCAAAGACCCTGAGCAAAAGGACAATTCCCCTTTTATAAGTTCGGGGAATACAGAACAAAGAATAGAGGAGGGTGGATGACACCATGGCTTTAAGAGCAACATGATTGGCTGGAAGTTTGGTAATGTGGGCTAGCAATTACCCCCCCCCCATTCTCTCAGGAGACTAAGAAGTATTCATTGTTTGAGTCCAAGTGAGAGAAGGTGGCCCAGACTTTTGGACAGCAAACCAGACTTTGAGGGATAACTTAGTGGAATAAAGATATCAGGCCTGGCTTCCTTGCTTTCTCACACATTCCCCAAGGTTAGCAAAATTCCTTGATGCAAGAATAGATCAGTGATTAGTAGGAGAACTGGATTTTTAATTAATCTGTTACAGGCCAGCTGAATTCTGAAGTATGTTCAGAGACAAAGAACCATGACTGAAGCAGTTACAGGATGACAGCAGTTACAGAACAAAATAAGTTAATGGTAAACAGGATCAATAAGAAAATGGCACAGGATCAAATCTCAATCTTCTAATTCTCTATTTCTCCTGTTTTCTTCCTATTTCTGTCATATTTTTCCCCTATTATTTGCCGCCAAACAATTGGCATAAACATATTTTTAAAAATGAAATACCATTTCTTCTCCTAATTTCAACTAATTCATTAAGTAATAACAAGTGTATTTTTACAGAAATTTTTTTCTTAAGTAACAGTCTCAGAAAAATTACCAAAAAAAGATGACGAGAGTAATGGATAATGGAGTTCAGTAAATGATTAAGAGTTCATTTTCTACAGAAAGTCTAAGAAAAAGGTTTTTTTAAAATGACATAACTAACTTAAACTACCAAGTCACTAATTATCTAGTCCATTGATCTACTCTTATGTGCTTTGAAATGTGTTACAAAATTAACATCAATAAATGTTTGTTGAATGGAGCTGTTTTGAGAGCTTCAAAGTCAAAATAAATGAAATGCTTTACAATAACATAAGGATTTTAAAAGCATCTACAACTAAATGCAACGGATTAGATACAGAAAAAATTACTAAGTTAAAATATCATTACATTTACTTTTAAAGTGACATAAAATTGTAAAATAGAAATACGGCACCTTTCCAACACCTAATTCAAGATATTTGAGAGCAGAGGTTCTTAGCCTGGAGTCCATGAACTTTTAAAAAACCTATCTTGATAACTGTATTTAAACATAATTGGATTTCTTTATAATTCTACAGACTTTATTTTATGCACTGAAAAACATTCTGGAAGGGATGTACTTAGCACCAGACTGTCAAAGGGATCCACAACACAATAAGGTTAAGAACTGCTTTAGAAATAATTTCCACAGTGGATAGAGCTTTGGCTTTGGAGTCAGGAGGACCTGAGTTCAAATCTGACCTCAGACACATGACACTTAAGCAGCCATATGACCCTGGGCAAGTCACTTAACCCCAAATGCCTCACCAAAAAGGCAAAAAAAAAAAAAAAAAGCAAAAAAAAAGAATTTCCTAGCTGAAATGGTTATTGAGACCCTGGGTAAATGTTACATGTTGCTTAAAATAAAATTAAAGTATGCTCATGATGATAAAATTTCATTAAAATCAATTCAAACATTTATTAAGCACCTGTAGAACACTGTGCGAGGCCACTGTAGGGATATTAAAAATTTAAAGCAGACAAAAGTTGGATCAGACTCCTTGTCCTCATGGGGTTTACATAGGTTTATATGGCAACACAAAACATATACCTATAATGCACATTTATGTAAGTGCATTATAGAGGTGTATTAGAATGTTATGTGAAGTCTGAGAGAGCTGTGACATAATGAAGGAACAGGAATAGGCCATCAGAGAAGACAAGCTTTATGTGGTGGGCAGTATATAAAAATGAGGCTGGGAGAGATTCTCTAGAAATAGGAAATAGAAAATAGAAAAAACAAAGGCAGGAGACCATGGGGAGCTTGCCATCACACAGAAGGAATAATATCCAGTAAGACCATAAAGACAGAGTAGGAAATGATGAACAACAATGAATGCATAGAAAGGAATTTATGTTTTCACTGGATTTGCAATCAGTGTTTATTACTTTAACACATGATATAGCATAAGATACAGAAAGTGAGACTTGGCTCCAACCCCGTAAACTTGTGTGAGCTTGGGCAAATCGCTTAATCTCTCCCTATGCCTCAGTTTTCCTCGTCTGTAACGTAAAAGGGGTTAGACTAGATGGCCTCCATTATCCTTCAAATTCTCAATCTATGAGATCACAATTGAGACTTCTAACTTTCTAAATAGGACAAAAGAAGGGGAAGGAATATATTAAAAAAAAAGGTGATTTCTGTCTTTCCCTTTTTCTCCTTCTGTCTCTACCTTTCTTCCTTCCTTTCTTCCATTTCTATATTCCAAACCCCATCAGTTTTGCCCTGCCCTAATTCTCCCAAGCTGGGTCATCCACAACCCCTGTCATCTCATACTAATGATCTGTCTCTAACAGTTTTGGGAATAGGGGGTTTGGGGAATAGGGGCAACAGCTTGCTGTACAGTCTTATAAACACAGATGCAGAAAGGCATACTCAATCCTGAAGATTTTTACCTTTAACCTCTCCTACACTCCCTGTCTCTATAGTAGGTCAGGAGACAGAAAACTAGGTGGGAAGTGAGCAACAATAGTAGCTGCCATATATCAGCTGGTTGGGTAACTTTGCTGAAGAGACAATGTTAACAGAACTGGAAATGAGGAAGAATACCGATAATCTGAGGAAGATGATTGCAAAACAATTCCCAGAGCTGAGATTTACAGTTTTTCAGAGTTCTAAAACTACAATGTTATGTAATAATAACAATAAATAGATGTGAACATTCATGAATTCAACAAATTATTTATTGAGGGCCTACTAAGTGCTTCCACTTAGTGCAAAGTGGGGGATTTGTATTCTCTCACAGTTTAAATATTTATAAAAATGTTTGACAGCAACTAGATTTCTTTTAGGCTTAAACTAATTTCTTTCATCCTACTGAATCTATCTTAGAGGCAGTAAAAGAGCACCACACTTGGAATTTTTTTAAATTCAACAAATGTTCATCAATCATGTATATACAAGTCAGTTAATGGATGCTAAGCAGATAGAACAGGTCTCTGGTGGACCTGTGTTCAAGTCCTGCCTCTAACACATACTGGTTGTGTTAAAATTCTCTTTTGTTCTGATCCCCCTGACCATCACCCCCCTTCTAGTTAGTATAGTAAGTTTATCAGTAGCCAGTATAAAGTAACAACAGCAAAAAGTTAAGATTCCAAAGGGGAACCTAGAATTTCCAGACTCTCCCATAGATTAAGGGAGCATAATGGTTACTTGTAAACTGTCTCATATATTACTAAAAATGACATCCTGAGACCATGTGCTAAATCAGGGCAAGCTTTACTATGAGGGTCCCTTGTTTCTGCTAATTGTCCATGGTCTGTAGGCCTCAATTAAGCTTCAGACATTGGAATTAAGACCAGCAGAACACCAGGTGTTGTTGCTAACTTTGAATGATGTGGATATGTTAATGAACTAACCCTAAGGTGGCACAGATAAGAGTTAGTCTGACACCAAAATCCCGTAAATCCCTTCAAACTCTACCCCTCCCCCTCAGCACTCCTCCATCTCCTACAAATCCATAGTGTTCCCAAATCTGATCCACAATTACATGACTCTCCATGACCCTTTT